ACTTTTTCAAGAAACTATATTTAGTTAAAAAAACTTTTTTTCTTCTACCCTTACGTTTGGGGAGAATAAAAGATGCAAGTCGATAGGCAATTAAAAGTACACTTAATTTAAAGAAGCAACCAATGATAACAATTTGAAAAGCAACCATTAATAATAGTTAAAAAATTAACATTTAATAAACTGGTTTATTTTTTTATTCTTGTAATGATGTTGAATCCTTGAGAGATTCTGATACTTGTTTTAATTTGTCACTTGCAAAGCACTTGTTCTATATAAGCAAAATACAATATGAGCAGAAATTTGGTAAAACAACTCATCCTAATAATTGGAAAGTTTCATAATTCAAGTCATGTAATTTTTGAGGTTTTTTTCGAAAATATAAAAAAACTTTAAGCAATATAATAGAGTAAAAGAAGCTTACAAAAATGAAAAAGAAAAATAATTCAAAACTTTTAATTTTGTACAAAAGATATTGTAAATGTGAAAATCATTGGTTTTTTGGGCCGTCTACTTGTATATACATCTTTGTCTTTTACTCGGTACATTTTTAGAGATCTTCTGTGTATTATCAAAACGGTCTTATTTTATAGGATACTTTAATTCGTATTTTAAACACACACACACACACACAAATATAGTTTTAGACTGAAATTTGATCTTTCATTACTTTTCTTTAGCTACTGTCAGAACATTTTATTGGATCTATACCTATTGGTCAGTCAATTAATAGCCATGGTGTGGTGGTTACAGATCTGGTTTCAGAACTGAAGTTCCGTGGTTCCAAGCTAGCTAGACGTACTACCTGGCTAAATACTATTCCGCGGTTCTCTGTAATAAGACCGTAAGAACTTCTTGAAGCATCTAAATAAATAAAAAAAATTTACATTATGATGTATCTATTGGTCAATCAATGTTTGTAATATTTTATTAAAAATAAAAAAAATTAAAAAAAAAGTGTTTATTTTTTCTTTAAAAGTTTGAGATATAATTAAATTCATTGCCTTTTTTTCCTTCCAGTATCCAGTACTTCCAGTATCCAGTACATAAGTTATTTATATTTTATATTTTTAATTTTGCCATAAAAAGTTACAATTTATAAAATAACATAAATAATAAAACAAACGACTGGAGCAAGAAGAAGACATCATTAAAGACATGGCTGGAGCAAGAAAAAGACATCATATAAGTTCCGTTCTATTTTGGTTTTACTTTTGTTTTAAAACGTTTTTACTCTAAGCTATATTACTACAAATATAGTTTTTGTAAAAATTTTTATGAAGCATAATTTACATTAAGGATAATATTTCTTATAGATAAAAAAAGTCTTTTGATTTGCCATTTCAACGTTCAAAAGATGTCTTTTTCAGGCCAAATACTCGGCGGGAGGATTCTCCCCTATCAAAAGTTTAGTTTAAATATTAAAAAAAAACCGGAAAGAAATGCATTTTCTTATTATATATTTAAATATATCAAAAGTGATAATGAATTTGAGAAATCCGTTTTATAATATTTAGTCTTATTTACATTATTTTTACATTTATTATTAATAGCTATTAGTTTAAACATTTTTGTTTAAATAAATACCTATTTATTTATTAATAATAATAAATTGAAAGACTAAAATCTTTCTAAATTTCTTTATAAAAATGGTTTTCGATCTTTTATATATTTTTTTAAATGCTCCTGATCATCGATAATCTTAAAAGCGAATTTTATTTACAGGGTTTGGCCAGGACATCATATAAAAAAAAAAAAAAAAAAAAAAAAAAAAAACATAATGCGTAATTTTTTTTACAGACTTAAGTGACTTTACATTGTATAAAACATTTATTATTGTTATTTTATAAAACTCTGTAAATATTAAGGTAAAAATACAAACAAACAAAAAATAGTTCAAAATCAAATAAGTGTAAAAGCAGATAAAAAATAAATTGAAAAAAAAGGTTATTTAGGAATATTTTCTTCAAAAGTATTTTGTTTCAAAATCAATAGCAAAATTGACATAATTAATTTCGCAGACACACCATAGTCATAAAAAAAATAGTCTATTAGAAACGCAGGCTGTTCTAATAGTTTTCATCGTTCAAGTTGAAAATAGGGTGGTCCGCGTTAATAATAAGCAAAACAAACTCTTCATGGCTGAAAGTTCAGAAGATTTTGTGAAGATCATGGAAAAAGTTCACTCATCTTTCACTATATTTTTTTAATTTTTTTTTTGGATTTGCGCATGCGCTTGGGAGATGTTGGGATTTATGTGTTAATTGGACAAAAACGTAACTTTTGGAACATCGCTTTCTTTTTAATTTACAAAGAAAATAGTTATTAGTATAAAAAAAATTATTGTAAAATTCTAGTCACAATTAGTTTACGATTTCTGACGACTCGTGTTTCGAAGTGGAGGTGTACAATTTTCAATTTCTAAAAAAAGTCCTCTATATCAAGAATTTTCTCTAAAAAATAATAAAAAAAAAGGTCCTTTAGAAAAAAAGTGGGGTGCACATACAAAACGTTGTTGCTATGCAATAAAACTATGCATATTTAGAAAACCGGCTTAAAAGAGAATCCGTTTGAAAGAGAACCAGCTTGAAAAGTGTTAATTAATTGGTAATAAAATATTTAAAAAAATAGTTTGTTTTTTCGTTACATAAACGTTTTTCCGTTACATAACTTCGTTAGATCAGTGGTTATTGCACAGTCATCCGTGTTCAAATCCGCCCCTTAACACAATACATTTTCAAATTTTTCAATCTAGCCGTATATATTTATAGCAAAAAAGACTTAATTGTTAAAATAAAATTTTAAAGTTTTGCTAGCTACGGGATATTTTTTTTCTTTTTTTTTCTCCACAGAAGTACCTTCTGGATTAGCACGACAAGCTTATTAAATTTTTTCTTTACTAAGTTTCAGACCATAAATTTTTTTCAGATCATTTGCAGCTTAGTAAGACTAATTATTTGAGTACATTAATAACATAAGTATCTCTATCATGACTTATGAGCAACAAATTTCTACCGTTGTTTTGATGTTTTTAGAAATTTTAACCTTTTTAAAAAATTCTCTCCTTTTCGTTTGTTAAAATATATAGTATTCTTATTTATGTTATGTATATAATATCTATGAAACTTCAAAAATGTTGTATTTTGTATTTTAAAAAATTGGAAAAATTAAAGATAAAATAAAATATAAGCGTAGGGATTTGAACCACGGCAATTCACTTCAGAAACGCTGAGAGCTAACGACTTTGGCCACCAAGGGCGTATTGTTCGATAAAAGTTTCAACACTATTATTTAAACAAAAAACTTGATAAAACGATAAATAGTTTCTTTATAATCAAAGTAAAGAAGATATCGCCAAAATGCAGTTTTTAATTATGAGTTAAACCGTAAAACTTGATATATGTTTTAACATCACATAATTTGAAGTTTACATAAGTTAGACATTTGTGTACACTTTTGTTCACATTTTCTAATAACAAAAAGTGCTGCGACTCATTTTTGCCATTAATTCGGTTGCAATTACTGCCGAGAGTTTCGCGTGAAACACGCTCGAATGGGCACTACTACTACTACTAAGACTAGCACTATCAAGCTCGGCATTAATATAAAAAGATGGCTATGGACACACCAAACAACTCGAAGTACAACTTGTTAGAAACGGCGCAGAAAGAAACATATTCTTCACCAACCCTGTGGTCAAACCATGGAACACTTAAAAAATACTCTAAACCCGGTAAATTCAACAAATATAAATAATTTCAAACATGAACTATCATTATTATAGCACTTAACTGTAATTTGAAAGCTAAAGACTATTTTCATCTAAAAGCTAGACTGTATTTTCATCACAAGGCGACCTGGCGTTCCGCTCTTTATCGATAATTTGTAAATCTTAATGATGTAGAATAAATTAAATTAAAGATGATCTATTGTATACGTTTTCTTTATTTAGTTTAATAATTTATGGTAATTTATAAAGGCGAGCCTATATTAATTGATGTCTAATTCAGTTTAAGATGGTCTGATTCCATGATTTTGTTGATTGCGCAACCTTTAAAAACTTCAAACATACGGATTTTAAAATGAATAACACACTATTTTGTAATTTGCAGATATAGAGAAAATATAAAAACTTATATACGAATAATATGTATATCTGGCAACCTGATACGGTTGCCTGATACACAGTTGTCTAAAGGAGGACATAGAAAAGCAAAAAGGAGGACAAAAAAAGACATACTTAATTTTAATAATACCTAATAACGGAAGTTTTTTAAAATTTAGGGGTTTTAATGTTCTTTTTTATGGTGGGGGAAGAGACTCGGTACTGAAACCGGATGAAAATAAACAACAAAGTATATAACTTTAATGTTATATAAGAAATGTTATATTGATTGCTTGACAGCGGTAGCCCACTTGCCTCAGAAACAAAAGACCCGTGGTTTAAATCTCTGAACAATTTTTGCGGCTATCGGTTAGGAAGAAGGCGTGAACTTCCAATTAAATGCTCGTCCGCGGTGCTTTGTAATAAGACCGTAAGGATTTCATGGGGCACCTAAATAAAATTTAAAAAATATATATTTGAGTTTTAGGTTGAAAAAAGGACGTCAATATATTCGATGACACTGACACATTGATTAAGTGTTTCTTATTGTTAACATGGCTGTATAAGTCAATAGCTATTTTGTTAGGGACGGACAAGTAACTATCACATATTGCACACTTTGCTTTATTTTCGTTAAGCAAAACGCCCTTAAGTAAAACATGAAAATCGAAGTGCTTGAGAATTTGCGTTTTCTCTTTGTATAAATTAAAGTTATTATAATAAAGAAAGTGCGATTCAATTTAAGTGCTGTTGTTGTTATAAGAGCGTAAGCGAAAACTGACGAAGACAAAGTGTTAAAAATCTAATTAAAAAAGAATAGACCTTTACAAAAAGTAAATGTTTTTTAATTCTTTCAACGTTCCATCGAACAACAAAAGAATGCGCAAATTTTTCGCCTGCCGGACAGAGAACATGTCTTCCGTTTGCCGGACGTCTGGCCACCCTATATACGAAAAATCAAAATTTAAAAATCAATTTAATTGAAAATCAAGTCATTTTGCAGAAAAAATTATATATTACTTGTTCTACTTTTTTTTTTTTGCTGAAAGAGGCAATACGCAACTTAATAACTTAACCAAGATACTCAACTTAACTAAGGTAACTTTTTTTTTTGAGTTCGGAATTCAATAAAAATTTGCTTCAACATTCCTTGTTTTATTTGTATTAAGATAAATATTTTTTGATTATTTAAGACTATTGCAGCCCTAGATAAAAATATTTTTGTAAATAAAGTTATTTTAGTGTTAGATTTCTTTAACTTTAAACGCGAAATGTTACTGTTTACATTACTTCATTTATTTTCACTCTTCAATGAAAAACCAAATAGTTTTTAAAAATTGGAATCCAGAATCAGAAGTGTTTCAGAATGTGTTTTTATGTATTTTGTGTATTTTTTATATTTCCAAAAAGAAAAAACTTTAACTTTTTTATTTATTTTGCAATTTAACTCTACAATGAAAAACCAAATAGTTTTTAAACCATAATATACAATTATAGAGGTTTTAATTTTTTGAGTGAGAAAAATAGAAAAACATATAACTTTTTTTTCAAATAAAGCTGAATATTTTTGTTGTTGTAAGAATTAAAGTCCATTAATTCAAATATCTAATCATAAAAATCTATTAATAAATAAAAAGTTAACAATAATTTTTGCTAAATGAATGTTATAAAGCAGTTTTTTAAATGTTAGTGGTTATAAGGTTATGGTTATACAAATAGTTAAGACACTGATGTTCAAGAGAAATAAAATGACATTTTGTAAATGAAATAAAATGTAATACACACTAAAAAAGAATCAGGTTTGATCATGCTGAAAATTGGAATCCAGAATCAGAAATGTTTCAGAATGTGTTTTTATGTATTTTGTGTATTTTTTATATTTCCAACAAGAAAAAACTTTAACTTTTTTATTTATTTTGCAATTAAGCAAATATGACAATTTTTTTTTATATGCAATTTAAACTAAATTTATATTCATTGATAAATTTTAAATTTTTTTTAACAATTTTTTACTAATACAGTTGAGGAGATTATTTTTTTATATGAATATTGTTATTGTTTTTATATGTATATTGTTGTTGTTACCCTCTTTCAATAGCAAAACATATCCTTTTAAAAAAAGGCAACTGCGTTGAGAAACAAGTCAAAGTTATCCCCTTTTAAAGTTGAAAACTATTTTGAATTTCCTATCAGTGTGGTTTTTTTGCAAAACACTTTTAATTTGTCATGGGTATGAACATAGTTTGGAGCTTGCTTCTTGTCTATATATTAAGATCATGTAAAAATTTCTCTGTAATTCTACTTTTACATGGTATTAGAAGTTGTGATTACTAGAAAATATAATGTTTAATTTTTCCCAAAAAGAAACTTTAAAAAAAAGAAGATTCAATCACCATATCAAATATAAATAAATCTAATTTGTCAATTCTAAAGTTGAGTTATGTATTCAGGCCTTTAATGAAGTTATATTTTCAGACCTTTAATATTTACAAATTCACCATAAAGCATTAAGCAATTTTCATGAGAAAATGAATTTTAGTAAAATTATTAGATGTGTTGAAAAAAGGATGTATGACTGTGATATTAATGTTAACTTTGAATTTTTTTTAGCACTATAGACTTATAGTTTTCTAAAAAATAGTACCATTTTTTACTTTGTTTTGTAATCACCAGACCATCCTGTATTAAATCCAAAGAGGGAAATATATATATTTTTTTAATCTTTAAAATTTTGTACTTGGTGCTTGGTATGGTCACTATTAAGTCTATTATTTTTTCTCTTTATAATAAAGTTGTTGTAAATAGGGCTTATATGTGGAATTGCTGAAATTCAACTGATAAAGTATGTCAATTAATTTAGGGAGAGCACGCAAGGGACTGCTGCTAAATTGATTAAGGCTTTTGGCTGCAGCAGTGATATGGTTAGGGTTAGGAGAAATTTTATGCACTTTTTAGGAGAAATTTTATGTATTTTACTTATTGACAATATTCACATTTTTGCATTTTACCTGTGTCCTTGTATAGGGTCAAATCATTATATTTCAACCAATGGCCTGTGGGATACTATCTCTGATTTTCCTGATTTTTACAAATTGTTATGTGCATTATGTAGGTAGGTTAAATTTGAAATTTCAGACTTCCAAGTACAACAGAAATTATAGCCTTATAAACATGATACCATGGCCCCCCCTTGATTTACAAATGGGCAAAACAGACTACTTTAGAGCCATATAACTTTTTTCTCACTTTCAACAAGTGTCATTTTTTCTAGAACTATTTTCTGGATAGATATCTGGATGGATATTTCTCTGTTTAAAAAAAGGTTTTTTATTAACTCCTATTATATTTCTATATGCTCAAATATGCTAAAATGAAATGAACTGTATAATTTTTTTATATTCATCTACAAGTCTTTACAGATAAATTTTCTGATTAGCTACTACTGTCTGCAATAAATGGGCAAAATATAAGCAGTTTGTTGCAGTTTAGAACTCAAATATATCAAAAATCAAAATATCCATTCACCTAAAAAGTTCAGTTTTCAGTCATTTTGAGATGCTTGTAAATTTTTCTAACACTTAATTTTGATTTAAGATTAACAGCATATAAGACCATTAGGCACAACTATCTGAAGGTGCAAACATTATAAACTTGTCAAATTAACACCAAAAGTGACAGCATTTTTAAATAACCCATTTTTTTCAATTTGAAAGCAGTGCCTCTCCAATCTGCCTATTGCCCAATCTAAGGTGGGGGAACTAACTTTTAGTAATTTAATTAACTTTTGTTAATGCCCTTTTAATGCAACAACATTGTATATTTGCTGAATAATCCGGCACACACACAGTCAATGTTAGTCACTATCAAAGTTTGAATCATATGGTAAAAGCATGAAAAAATGCAATAAGATCTGATGGCCTTAACTGTCATTAGAAAATGAATCATGTATGTTTCCTGTAAGAAAATTAAAGCATGTATCTATGTAAGTTGGCTCCCCCCCTCCATCTTAGATTAGTGCCACACACACACACACACACACACACACACACACACACACACACACACACACACACACACACACACACTCCCTTTAGGGGTAGGACCAATGTCGGGAACCTATTATGACCACTAATCACCTATAATAAAATAGAATTTAATGAAATAGCGCTAGAATTTAAAGAAATATTAGGTATCTAAATATTTAAATTAATTTAGTGACCTTCGTTTGAACCATAATGAAGGTCTCTAAAAAGCTACTGCCCCTATATTTGTGCCCTTATCTACTATACGGATCAATTCAAGTAGAGAGCAACCAACTTTTTTTTTCTTATAGTTAAAAAATGACTTAAAATAAGTTGCACCCCTAACAGTAGGCAGGTTAGAGTTTTTTTCAAATTAGTTGAAATATAATAATTTAACCATATGATTATTTGTTGAATTAAATGCTTTTTTGTTTTGTTTTGTTTTGTTTTTTCATATCTTTTACAGTATTTTTAGAAAAGGAGTGCATTGAGTTGATTTGTTAAATTTTGTTTTATATTTGTGAATAAAAAAAAAAATTAAAACTATAACAGAAACATTTTTGACCTAATCAACCCTATCCCCTCCCTTCCTACCCTCCCCCCCCCCCCCCCATTTATCTATGAAATGTTAAAAATTTGTATAACAAAGAATAAGTATTGCCAAATAACTTAATATTCTACATGAACACAGTAAATGAATGAAATCAATTTATAAAACTTGAAATACTTCTCTAACAAAGTATAAACTAAAAAAAAAATACACTAAAAATACTTCGTTATGTTTTGAATAACCCATTATAAAATTTTTTTCTTTTTTATTAATAAACATCTATTGGCATTTGGGGCTTTTTTATGAAAATTTATGAAACTTCAGGCTGAAGATGTTGAAAAATATGTTGATATTGAATAAAGAAAAAAAAAAACAATATTTTGAAAATAGGTTTTATAGAATGTTTTGTCATTATTTATGTTACAAAAGTCTTTGTGAAATTTTATTGTTTCGATTCTTTTGTCAGGTTGCTTCCCAAAATTTCTGATTTTTAAACGAAAATTTAAGGTTCCCGAGTATCCTGGTAGTTGTGCTACTGATAACATGATGCTTTAGTACTTATCTTGATGCAGAAATATTTAGTGGTTATAACTCTTTATAGTTCATGAGAGAGTTTTTTATCAACAATCAATCATCAGTTTACAACTTGCATTTATATATTTTACAGTTATTCAATGCTGAAGTCAAACTAACCTTATAGTAATGGAGAAATTGAAGCAATTTCTTAGTTTCAACTGATAGATGCGCTATAGGGAAGTTATACTGAACTTTTTGACAAAGAACAAATTGAATCATCTTGCATTTTAAAGATTGTTAGAAATTACGTGCCTTGTGGCATATAAAGTTTGATATCTCATTAGAAAGAAGTGGAAAAGAATGGAACCAAAAATTACATAAAAAAAAAAAGATTTATAGTTATGATAGCTTGAAAATTATTTATTATTTTATCTTAACGAACATATTTTGTACTTAAATTACATTATTAATACCATCTATATTGTAAATTTAATTATTTTTATATCATGTGTAATGGAAATGTATGTTATATGCAAAGTTATGACTTACATATATAGATAGATACTATAACCGAAACTGTTTTTTGATATTAAAGATTTTCAACTTACGGGCATGGAGTAAACTCCAAACATTTATATGTATATGCAGGGGCATATCCAGGATTTTTTTATTTATTTTAGTTAAGTTCCTGGTACTTTGTGAACTTCAAACTTTTATAAATATTCATACTTATGTCTTATAGCGGTGTTTTGCTGAAAATTGCGCTAATTAGCCTCGAAACAAAAGTTCCCTAAAACGTTGGCATCGCCTGGCTAAATAAAAGAGAATTGGTTTTTCAAAAGACTGACAATTATAAACATATTTAAAATTTCATTTATAGTATATTTATAAACTAAATAAAGTATTGTTTGGCGTTCAAAAGTTATAGCTATTTAAAGCTCACAATCCTGTCAAAACAAGAATGGTGTAAAATGGTGCCTGTTGTAACAAGGATGGTGTAAAATGGTGCA